TCTAATGTCCTGGTGGACCTCCTGATGGCACCTGGTATTTTTGGCCACTGTGTGACAGAGTATTAGACTGGATGGGCCTTTGGTCTGATCCAACATTGGCGTCTCTTATGTTCTTAATGTGGCAGACATTCCACAGAGGTGTCAGCTAGATCCATGGCTTCTGCTATTGTTCTTTGGAGACACTCTTCGTTGCACAGTATGGCCCTCCCAATCGAAACTTGCACTAAGGCAGAGGATCTCCCATTTGAGGAGTCTACTCTTTTCTTGCAAACTACTGATTACTTCCTTACTACAATGAAAAAGAACAAACAGCGATGTCACTGAACATATTTTCCTCAGTTCTGACTCACAGGCAGTGATTCTCTCAGAGACAGCATGGCTTTGTCCCTTCTATAGGGGCTATTAGCCACAAGGTACAGATAGGGACTCTGGGGCAAGTGATACTTTGTCTTCTTGGTGCTTGGGGAGGTCAACAGTGGGAGGGATTCTAATGTCCTGGCCCCACTGGTGGACCTCCTGATGGCACTGGTATTTCTGGCCACTGTGTGACACAGAGTGTTGGACTGGATGGGCCTTTGGCCTGATCCAACATTGGCGTCTCTTATGTTCTTATGAATGACAGCCCCTAGGAGTAGCAGAAGTGTTCTGCGACTAGAATGACAGGTCCCAGAGTGAAACGTCAGCCGTTGGGAGTAGGAAAAGCATTCTGGGTCTGGAATAACAGGTCCCAGAGTGGAATGGCATTCCTCAGGAGTAGCAGAAGTGCCTTGGAATGGGAATGACAGCCCCTGAAAGTAGCAGAGGTGTTCTGGGACTGGAATAACAGGTCCAAGGGTGGAATGACAGCCCCTGTTATTGAAACTAGTGCTCTGCAGCTGTAGTCACAAACCGTATTGTGGAATAAAATACCTTTCATGGATTTCAATCACAAGAGCTGTCATTCCTCTCTGGGACCTGCCATTCCATTCCCAGAATACTTCTGCTACTCCCAGGGGCCAGCATTCCACTCTTGGACTTCTCATTCCATTCCAAGAACACTTCTGCTACTCCCAGGAACTGTCATTCAATTCTGGGACCTGTTATTCCAGACCCAAAACACTTATCCTATTCCCAGGGGTCATCATTCCTCTTGGGGAGCTGTCATTAAAGACCCAAAACACTCTGGGTGCTGTCATTCTAGTCCCAGAACACTTCTCCTACTCCCAGCACCACCATTCCACTCTGCAGGTCATCATTCCAATCCCAGAGCACTCTACCTGGGTCCAGAGATTTTCATCCAAAATTTTCATTGCAATTTCCTTGTGCTGTAATGTATTTCAGTGGAGCCCAGGCAAATCAATTAGCATTCCTGGCTCCCATTATATACAATGGTCCTTCAAGCTTCTCCCATTGTTCCCAGTAGGCAATCCTGTCCTTGTTTTTAGTACATCCTGCAGCAAATACATCAGATCCTCACAATCATAGGAGCAAAAGCTGTCTGCAGAAAGCAGACAGAGGCCCTTTCTGCATCTAGCATTCACTCTGCTGTTTTATCAAACCCATGTTGGAACGGAAAATCCCCTCTACATTGCATGCCACTTTCACTTTCTTTGTCGTATTTTATGGTAACCTCCACACTCCATGCCGGTTTCACTTCCTTTGATCTCTTGGTTTTATGGTAGCTGTCTGCATAGATTGATGGCTCTTTTATGGCCATTCAGGGGTGACTCTACAGTCAGAAAGGCATTGACCCCCGGGGTATTTGAATGTGGTTTTGAGAGCCATCTTTTTCTGTTCCAGTGTGGGTTTGGTAAAACAACGGAGCAAATGCTAGATGCGGAATGGGCCTGTGAAGGGAAAGCTGAGGAGGTGGGAGGGAGGCAGGGAGGAGTACAGGGGAGCTGAGAAGGAAGCAGTCCCTACCCTGCCTGCAGCTGATTCCTCCAGACTCCCTCTTTCATTCACAAAAGCTGCCACTGTGAGTGGGCCCACCAGCAGCTCTCATTGGTCAGCAAGTGACCACCTAAGCCCACCTCCGACTCTGGGCCAGCCTGCCACTTTAATCTGAAGTATCCTCAGGGCTTTCTTTATGGCTTGTTTTGCTGTTTGAGCATAGGAAAAGTTTGTTTTTAAGTTTTCTGTGATGAAAGAAAAGTGTTTTCTTCCCAGGCCTTGTCATGCTCTTGCCAAATGCCCCTGCATGCCTAACTTACCTGTTTCCTTACCTTTTCTTGACACTTTTGTCACTGAAGCAATGAGCTTCAACACTGGGGCTTCCACTTGCCTGCAGAATAGTTACTCTCCTAGAGTATCCCTAAATATATATCTGTGGCTAGCTTACTCCCCCAGTCCATCGTAACTTATTCAACTAAGAAGGCCTGACTTCAAACAGAGGAATGTGTAGCTAGTCCCAATGGTATTGGTCCTGACAGATGGTGTGGAATGCAGAACTCAGTAAGTGTGAACAAGATAATCAGAGAGGTGATTAAGTGTTGCACATACAAATAAGGAACAAAAAAAGTAAATTTAATTCAGCTAAATCTTCAGTTTAGTACCTTTTCCTTTGATACATAGCATGTTCCAGTGAGTGTTCACACAGGAAACAAACTGAGCAAACTGACTTTTGTATAATTGCAGCAAAAATAAAAGGAGCTGGAATAACTAACACCCCTTCCCTCTTGGTTCCCCAGGGGTTTTAAAGACTGCACAGCATGTTCAGTGGGGCTTCCTAACATCTTGGGTGTCACATGGGGATAGGCACAACTACTTCCCCCCCTTCAAAATCTTCTACCACAGAAGAGAATCTTATCCAGACAGATTGGGACCTTCTAAAACACTCCTTAAGGGACAGTGGTGAAACGTGCTGTCCAGTCGCAGGCAACTTATGGCAACCCTATAAGGCAAGGCAAGAGACAAACAGAGCTGGTTTGCCATTGCCTTCCTTGGCATAGCAACCCCAGTCTTCTTTGGTAGTCTCCAATCCAAGTACCAGCCAGGGTTGGCCCACCTCTGCATAGCCCCGCATAGCTTCTGAGATCTGATGAGATCAAGCTAACCTGAGCCATCCATCTCAGGGCACCTGCCAGGAATAGGGTAAGAAAATCTAGAATGTCTTAGCATTAGGATTTGCGGTGTGTGTAGCACATTATTAAGATATACAGTCAGTAAGACCATTAGGGTAAAACACAGGGTTTCCTATACAACTCTGCTGGTTTTCTCTTCAGCCCTGTAGTTCTGGCAACCCTTCTGCCACAGCTGAAAGCACAAATATAATCTTGTATGAGGAGCACTTACGCTGTGTTTGACCAATAAAGCAATCAACTTTGAAGAACTGAAATTATGCATTTATTTTAATGGTCTTTTTATTTCAAAGACTTTTCATATAAGTAAACAGCTACTTATCAGAGTAAACAGTCTTAATGTAGCAAACAAAGCTCTTGTATTTAAATACAAATCAATGGAGCACTCCAAGTATTGCTGTAATATATTCAGTCAGTGCATGGTAGAATCGCCTACCAAAGCAACATGATAACTCTCCTTATGATGCCATACTTATACAAGCAAGTTCTTATTTTAGCATTTTAGCACATGGCTGTTAAAGTTATTTTTAGCACAATATATTCCCCCACACATAGTTAGAATGGGTAGATAGAACAGACTGCAGTTTAAAATACCTTACGGAATATTCAGTACTGGTTTGCTTTTCATTGTGAAGTGTCAGAAAGAACAAACAAAAAAGGCAGAACTTTGGCAACTTGTATAATTTATGTATCAGGCAGCTAATGAGCCTGGTTTAATCCCAACAGTGGGACAAAAGTCTACCATGGCAAGCAAGCAAGCATCTAGTCCTATACCTGAAGAGTAGCTGAATTCTTTTTACCACTTGGCACTGGCAGGATAATACAGTGTAGTAGATCAACCGTTGGATGGGGAGTCTTGGCTTGAAAGCCCAGCTCAACCTTGAACCTTATTCAGTGGCCATGAGCGAGTCATCACTGTACCTTTCAGATGTTGCAATCATGCCTCACAGGAGCGTGCAATGTTCCCAAAGTGCAAGGTTGCCATTTTCTGTGGAAAGGTAATGTGGATTTTCCATGCAAGTACCAAAACCTGTATGGGCACTGAAAACCTGCCCATTGCCATATGAACTTGAAATGACAGCTATACATATTAGAAGCATTGCAAGTAGTTTGAGCTCCTGGTATGTGTCGTTGTGCAATGTCTAAAAAGGGTTTATCTCTCAGACTTCTTTATTTCACAGAGGATGGAAGTAGGAAAAACACCATTTTGTATATTAAATGTAAGTACACCATCCTGAGCTCTTTGGAGGAAGGCTGGGATACAGTTGTAATAAACAACACTATGCATAGGATTTGACAATTTTGATACCACTTGACAATTTTCTGTGTCCAACTACTGAATTATGCTAAAAGTGAGGGATATAAGATATAAAAATATTAAACATCCTAAATACAGGAGAGGAGCACACTGAGAGGTGAAATATTGTAATTGGGAGCTTAGAATATATTCTGTAAAACCTTTGCACCCAAACAATTTCTGTGGAATTCTAATTTGAAAAAAACAAACTAGAGACCTTATCTGGAATATGAATGTAGGAGGTATTTTATGTGTTGATGATAGGAGCCTCGATTAATTTAGCCTCATTCTGAAGCTTTAATATTCTCAGAGTTGAACAACTGATCTTGCCAGTAAAAGAAAAGCTGCTTTATGATTCAACATCCTGTGCATGAATGTATGCCTGCATACATGTGCAAGCACATACACATACAATGTACTTGAAAGTTTCTAAAATGGGCAAAATCATTGATAGGGGACTAACCATGGCTCCACAGGAACAAGTTTTTCAGGCTTAGCTATATCAATGTTTATATTTTATATCTGTAGTCTACCTTGCTGAACAAATAACTGCTATACCATGTTAATATATTATTTAATTAAAATCTACCTTGCTGGACGATGTGAATCATCATACTTAACTATCTTCTGTTTTTCCTTTATAGCTCTTGGTGGAGCCAAATTTGTCTCCTTTGAGGATCGCCAGTGGCACAGTGACTGCTTTAACTGTGGGAAATGTTCCAGTTCTTTGGTGGGAAAGGGGTTTCTTACTCAGCAGGACCAGATCCTCTGCTGCAAGTGCATCAGCTCCGTATAGCTAAATAAACTCAAAAGCAAATCTGTTACTTGCTATGAATTTTCACTATTCAATTTAATCATTCAGTAAACGGAAATCTTTCTAGAAATTATAATGGCTGTTTAATCAGGCAAGCCACTTTTTGATGCTGCTTCTGTCACTGTTGTATACACCCCTTGTGCCTTGTGTAGTCTTCCTAGGAAACTAGTGCTAAAGCAATTATAAATTATTAAGCTGAAGAAAATGTCTCCTACTTCTTGCATTTCTTTGTTGTTTGGTATACAAGAATGTATAGATCGTTTTACAAGCCAATACTTTCCTTAAATCCTAATAAAGAGAAATTATATGAGTGGGCCTTCTCCAGCAGCACAATATTTAGCAGTGCTGTTGTTGTATTACAGCTTTGAAACAAAAAAGGGGGAACACCTAAAGATGCCTTTCTCTATTATACCTCAAAATCAAACCATAACAAAAATGCCTTTTGTCGCGGGCAGTGGCTATGAAGGTTCACTACTGGCTGTCACCACTCTGATACGGGTCTCCTTGGGAGGGCTAAGAGCACCCACCCTACCCCTTGTTACAGTACTTTTACAATAGGAGAGTAACAGTGTGTGATCAAATGAGGTGTGAGGACCCAGGCAGAGTAACAAATAGTTTTATTAAGAGGTTTAATAACAACTTTAGATCAATAAAGTAGGAAAAATGAGCAAAGTAAAGGCAGGCAAATCAGTAACAGAATAAATCCTAACACCCTCCCACTCTGCATAAGGCCTTTCATCTTCTCTTCCCAGGCACCACCCTCTGTTCCCCTACTGGTGTAGTTTTCCCTCCAAAATCTCCTGTCACCCAATCGCGGGGTCTAGAGGGAACCTGGGAAATGTAGGCTGTTAAGTATGGAACTCGACACCGTCTCATAATCAAACAGTGAATCAGCTTTTTTGAAGTAAACAGGAACAGTCATAGAATACACACACAACAGTGGAGCAAAAGCTTTCTTTTAAACTGTCCCGGGCTGATGTAGCCATGCCCTAGAACAGTTAAGGACCAATGATATTACAAGGATAACAACCAATCAGATTAGTTCCCTCCTGTACATTTCTCTGCTTTCTGATTGGTTACATTCATACAATAGCCAATAGGATTGTTCCAGCTTACAATCCTTTTCCAGGTCTTAAGCTTTACATGAGATGTTATACAGATAATAACATAGGCCTTGATGACTACTCCCACACAGGCTTCTCTTGAGCCACTTGGCCTCCCTAGAGCCTGTAGGCCGCACCACTATAGGCCCATGATCATGACACCTTGGTAAATCAGGACTTGATAGAAGAAGAAATACCTATCCACAGAGACAATACAATATGTGACTTGGTAAAAAGATGAAAACTAGCATGATACAACTTTCCCAGTAGCACATATTGTTGAATAACCTGTATGTGAGTGACAGACACACATATCCTGAGGTCACTGAGTATTCTTGATCATTTGCAAAGCCAAAAAAGTGCCATTAATTTTAATAGAAGTTATTTATAGTAAAACACATATAAAAACTAATCCTCACTGTGTTCCAACAGCCTTCCCACGGGGAAGTTCTGGGACTTCACACAAATGACTGGAGAAACCAAACTCCTGAGAAATTCAGCCAAAACACAAATAGAGAAGATAGTGTCTGATGGGCTCATTACAGTATATTTGACATGGTGTTGCCAAGAAGGAAAGGATAAGTACATTCTAATGTAGAGAGACACACACTCTTCATTTTTTTTCTCACTAAGTTGTGCCTCTCTCTTACAACTATCTGAAAGACAGTTGGGCCTGTTATAAAATTGGAGGTTTTAGCCAAAACTTTTATCCTAGTCTTATTACCACGATCTCAGGGAAGCATGCATTGTGCTCCTCCATTTCATGTTGTTAAGCTGAGAGAGAAAATCACTGTCCTAAGTGAGCTTTTATGTCTGTGGTTTTGGAATCCCAGTCTAGTTTGGTACTCTTAGACTGTGGTCAGACATGCAGTTTGATCCAGTGTGGCCCCACCGCTAAATGATCCAGGGTTTATTTTGTAATTGAGAACTGTGATCAGACTAACCTCTTTAGCAGGGGGTGCTAAGTGCTTTTACCCTGTCCTTGAGCGATCAGACGCAGCAGCCAGGGAGTGGGGCCGCCAGCCAATTTCTTTAGTTTGTCCTTTGAGAATGCACACAAGTGCTGATGAGCCTCCTGGGATATGTAGATCACTGCTGTCCTCCCTCTCTAATCTTTTCAATTAACCCCTTCCCCAAAGCACAGAAAAAAGCTGAAGTACAGAAACATGTTTTGAGAAGCACATGTGGGAGAGGGGGGAGGGGGAGAGAGAGAAGTGAATATGCAGTTATGCGCACATCACTAACTAGTAAAAAATGGTGGCTGGAAAACAAGAGACCAGTCAGATCTGCCTGATGGCTTGGGTGCACAACAGAGCAATCAGACTACAGGAAATCCAGGTATCAAAGAAACACACAGTAAAGGGGGTGAAACAGGACAGAGATGACTGGGGCATGACAGACAGATGTTGCTGTCCAATCATGCATTTTAAATTTGGAAGGGAACAGTAACGACAACAGATCAAACCATACATCTGATCACAGCCTTACTGCTATACAACACTGTCTGTTTCTAACTGCTGTATTCCATGAAAAAAATCCATTGTGTTGATACTTGGTTTTACTTACTGTTTAAATGTCATCCAAACATAATGCCAAAACATGTTTTAATACTGCCTTGAGATGCTATTTTAGGAGAGCAAACACAAACCATAGTTTTTTGGTTATAATATAAATTGTAAACTGCAGGTGGTATTAAAGCAAAAGTGTATGTGTCACAAAATTTACATTCCACTAATAATAGCTTCACTACCTCTTTACACCTGCAAGCCATCTCTCTTCATCTTTGTTTTCTCCATCTGCTTGACTTTCTTTGCTCAAACAATGCCCTTCACTTTTACAAGGCATCAGTTATCAAAAATAGAACTAGGTTGCAAGACCTAAAAATAAAAATCATGGAGTGAGGCACATGTGTGCCGTCATTTATAACAACAGAGTGCACTAATATATGTGAGATGGTTTGCAAATGGTTTGCATGATCTTAAAATAAAGCTAACAAAATCGTTTCTGCAGTACTTTTCACCTAACTCTGTTTAAAATTAACCACAGTCCTGTAGAAGACCTCCGAAAGGAAGGAAGAAGAGAAGAGAAGAGATTGGATTTATATCCCGCCGTTCACTACCCAGAGGAGTCTCAGAGTGGCTTACAAACTCCTTTCTCTCCCCCTCCCCACAACAGACACCCTGTGAGGAAGGTGGGTCTGAGAGAGCTCTGACAGAAACTGCTCTTTTTCAAGGACAGCTCTTATCAGAACTATGGCTTGCCCAAGGTCATCCAGCCAGGTGCAAGTGGAGGAGTGGGGAATCAAACCCGGTTCTCCCAGATTAGAGTCCGCGCACTTAACCACTCACCAAACTGGAATTATGAATGTTGGGTGTGGGAGCTTGAAGTCAGATTTTAAAATGAAGACAAGATATTAAATGTTTCAGAAAATAGGATTCCTCTAGAATCTTATGGGTTTTTTTAGATATATTTTTATTTATTTTTAGAAAACAAAATAAAGATGTAAAGGGGATACAGAAATGAAAAAAGGAGTTGCATATCACTATTATGTATATAAAAATAGTTATGTAACACAGGATGTGTGAAACAAAAAGCATTTCTCCCCATCACCCCCTTCATTATAATTTTTAAAACACTATCTATAAAATGCAATAGTACTTGCTTCTGCAGGGGTACATTTATATTCTCCATTTTGGATTTCAAATTTCATAGCTAATCTATTTTACATCTAGATTATTGGTTTCATCTTTACTACATTTTCGGTATTATATATTTTTGCTACCTTTACCTACTCACTGCAACTTTTGACAATAAGTAATATATCACTGCAATATATCAAAGGATGGGGGGGAATCTATTATATATATCATAAGAAGAAGGTAAAAGATATTTCTGCTCAGGATCCACTTCTTTATACATTTATATCGAAGATGTTACATTTAAAACTTATTCTTGTTCTGCTTCTACATTTCAATACATTTGTGTACAAATTTTTGAACTACTAGTAAGTGTCAGGACTTAAAGATCTCGAGGCTTCCATTAAGTACCATCAAACTGTAAGTTTTTACAGGTTAGTTGCAGCCTGTTTGGGCTGAGCATTAATTAAAAGCACCTGGTGGCCTTGACCAGCTGGAAGAAGACTGGTTGCCAGCTAGTAACCAGTCTGGTTATCTGCTTGCCAGACTGGTTATCTGGTTGCCAGCTAGCAATGGATTAACCAACTATGCCCGGATTTGCTGACGGGCCCATGGGGGCTGACGAAAGGGAGATGCTGAACAGTCTAAAGGAAGCTAGCTATTAGGACGGCGACAATATCAGAGAAGACCTGGGTCAAGGCCTGGGAGACCTCAAGCAAAACACAAAGGACTGTCCCTGTCAGAATGGATTCTCTTTCTTAAGCCTTCAGAGAGACAGTCAAGTTGTAATTTGCCCCCCCCCCCCCGGGAAGCCTGCAAGTATTTGGTGATCTAGAGACTTACCCTCTGCCCAGCGCAAGTGGTTGAGTGTTTTTTTCTTTAGTATTTTTTTGCTGTCTGGAGAGTGATTCCTGCTTAGCAAACACTCTTGTTATCTGTATGCTTGAATAAATGCAGAAATAGGTTTTAACCTGTTGTGTCAGGAGTACTTGCTGAACTTACATCCTCAAAGGGAACCCAGAAGCTAAAAAGCCTCAACAAAGGACCCCCAAGGACCCCAGGTGGCTGTGAGTTCAGAGCCTGAGCCTAAGAATGGGAGAAGGGTTGTCCTTGGTGCAGACATGGTGGCAGCGGTTTTAGTGGTTTGCAATTGAGGATGCATTTTGCAGTACTAGCAGTACTCGGGGACAAAACCTTTCGACTGGGAAAGCACAGGATTTAGGCAAGTGTTCCTGTGTTTTTTGTGTGGCTCGCAAAGATGAGCAAGAATAAGAAGCTGGTTGCTCACATTAATGATTGGAGTTTTGGAGTCAAAACGATGGACAGGCTCGGTGCCTCAGAAAGTCAGGCAGTGTTTACTGAGAGGCCTTATAGCTCATATTCATCTTCAGAGAATGTTTTGAGAGCTGCTAATGGATGCTTATGGAGCTGCGGTGGCTCAAGTGGTTAAGAC